TTTCTCCGATTTTTGAGAGAGGACTGGGGCGAGTTTCAAAATAGAATTTATGTGAAAGGGGAAAGAAAGTATTAAAAAATCCGTTTTTACATGATTTACATCGAGATATCACATTTAGGACACAATGTGATAAAGAAAGCGTTTAAATGAAGATCAAATTGAGTAAGAATAAGTTAAACATCCACTATCGAGGTCCTCCGTGAGGAAGTCGAACTCAGCAACACGCGTAATGCTTACGTTATGCTCATTCCCAACACAATGAGCTCACCTCGGCAAGAAACAACCGCAAGCAAAAATTCCAGTAGTGTTTCTCTTCAGTCAACTTCATTTTAATAATGTTACTTCACATGCTCTTTTTTACGGCGGCCATCTTGTTATGCGCAGTAAGAGATGCACAGTGCAAAACCAGGGAATCATCTTAAGCTGAAAAAGCTAAATATGGCAGTAATACCCGCAGCCTACTTAAATTTATCCTTCTTTTCTCTACTGACAATGTTTAGGAGAAACAGAGAAAATAAGTACTTGATGTGATCTGAAAGTCATAATAAAAGATTGAGTTTTGATTTATAAAAATGGTCGGTCATTCGAGAAATCAAAGGCTATATTCAAGTACCCCTACGAGCAGAACTTTCTTTCTAGCATGGCTATTAGCATTTGGTAAGTCGCTTAGTAAGTCGCGTAGTAAATAATCGCGATTGACAAGCCACACGAACAACTTAACAAATGCCATGAAAAGCTATGCCAGAAAGAAACCTCTACTGGCAGGGTTCAACATTGCATGGTTCGATTTAGAAAGTGCGTTTCTACTGATATTCAAATACAGAAAGTCCCAGTTAAATCTTTATCTAAATCAGTAATCAAAAGTAATCCCTTTGACGTGGTTGTACTCAGTCTCGCTGTCATAAATCTAATAAAACAGTCTTTCTTGTGTTTAATATACTAGGCTACTAGGCCAGTTAAACCAATAAGCAGTCCTACGTAGTCAGTCCAAATTTAAAAGCCAACAAAAGAAAAACACTTTGATGTTACCATTGAAAAGAAATATATTCATGTTGTTAATCGTTCTTAGACGATAGGGGCATTGCTTCCGATCGAAAGCTGACGAAACCCGGTCAGAGCGGATCTGACGACGGGAATTTTTGTATAGCGATGCTGAATTTACTATTTACAACAACAACAACAACAACAACAAAAACACTTTTGATGGTCATATGATTTCAAAAGCGAGATATTTTATTTCTCTGATTTTGACATAAGGCAAGCTACATAAGGGATGCCTGTCAACAATTAAGTTCAATGTTCCATCTAATCACCGATAGCTATATATTTAAAGTGATAAAAAAGGAGTACCAAAAGTATGGACTGCTCGTTGTTTTCTAGAATAACCACACGACTGTTTGTGACCCTAAATAAATTATCATTCTACTCACGAACAGTATTAGGTAAACACATTGTACATTACATATAACTCGAAAAAGAACTAAGCTTTTTAAGCAAATTACTGATTAAGTGATCAAATGAAGAAAGTAATACGATTGTTTTGTCTAGAAAAGAAAACAGTAAATGTTAGTTGTCACTTCCAAACCCAAAAGCTATTAACTTCCGCATGAGACTGGTGCGGTGCGTGTACTGGTCGGACGTGTGTTTAAGAGCTCTCCGAGCTAAGATTAGAATTTGAGTCTTTCTTCTGCTAATTATGACCGGGAATGAAAAGCTGAGGAAGGAAAATCAATCTTTACGAAATGAGATAGCTGAACTGAAAGAAAAACTCCAGAAAATTTCCGAAGAATTTTCGTCAAAGAAAGCGGAGCTGACGAAGCCGGACGCCGAGAAGAAAATGTCGTCAGAAGGTGCTCATTCGCTTGAATTCGTCTCCAGTAAATATGACGACCTTGTCGCCTTCAAAGACGAAGCGGTGAAGCAATTTAATCAACTGTTTACTAGAGTCGCCGAAATCTCCATTCTCTGCGACCGAATTGCTAAATCCATTGACAGTCTTGAAGCTTACAGTTACCAGTTTAATGTCAAAATTGTTGGTATGCCAGCTACAACGCAAAATGAAACCTCCGATCAAACTGTAGCTCTCTGCCTTAGGCTGTTTGAAGCCCTTGGAGTTGAAGATGTTTCCCTTAACGACATCGATATTGCTCATCGGATACCGAGCCGTTCTGCCTGGAACAGGCCGAATGCTATCGTTTGCAAATTTACTCGAAGACCGGCTAAGGGAAAAGTTATGGCTGCGCGAAGGAGATTGGAGAAGCTCGAGGCGTCACAGTTAGGCTTCCCTGACGATTTTGATATCAGTCATATTAACTTGTATGATCATCTAACTCCTCGACTACAGGAGCTTCTCTTCGAGAGCAAGAAATACAAGAACGCCAATCACTTCAAATTCTGTTGGGCGAAAAACGGAGCTGTCTGTCTGCGCAAAACGGAAACATCAACAGTCATAAAGCTAACAAGCCTAGACGAATTAAATGAACTGAGGGAGTCACGATAAGCTAAGTACTTTGAGATATTAGAGTTGCATTAAGCGGGGTAATTCTGGAAACCTTCTTCGCTCTATCGCTTAAGTTAGCTTAAAATGAAGTTACGCCGTAGAAATAAGGTTCAAGAAAAAGCTCAAAGATCAACACTCAAAGAGCTGCCTTACTTTACTTTTAGAGGCAATTTAGCCCTCTTTCATGGCCAATTTAATAATTCGGTGTCCACTAGTCCCAGTGTAGGAGACATCTAGATAAATTATCCAGCTTATTTGATCTAGATCTATTTACTAATCTTGACGGTCAATTGAATAATAACAACAACGATCACAGACAATGTCGATATTTATCCCCGCATAGTTTCAAATTATTTAATAGAAAGCTATCCAACAGTGAGGTTCAATCCAGTTTTTCAGTTTTTCAGTTTTTCACAATAATGTTGTAAGCATTAACCAAAATTTGGAAAATTTAACATTACTACTAGATGAACTCGACTTTCAATTTAACTTAATTGGTGTCACAGAGACCAAAATTACAAATTCAAATGAGAACGGGTCTTTTTCTTGCATACCGGGATACGTTTTCGACCTTGTCCCAACACCTCTAGCATCTGGAGGTGTTGGCCTTTTCATTCACGAATCACTAAATTACACAGTTTTAGCGGAGCTCCCGCGCGCGCGAAGCGCGCGCGCAGCGGAGCACCATGGGTAAGAAAATTTGGTAAACTATCCATCCAAGAAAATTTGGTTATGACGTAGAGTACGCCCACCCGTACACACACTTCATGTAAGCCGATGTCAAATGTCACAATAGATCTTGCACAACTTGACTAGCCTCTTAGTTATGTAAGCCATCCGTATGAGTACGATTAGATTGACAGCTGTCAAAATCAGACATCCGCTTACAATTATCACATGACCATCTCGCAGGCTCAGATAAAAGTCCAGTCGTTTTACCCCTATATATAAGCTGACATAATATGTCACACTTACCAATTCAACATAAAAACGAAACTACGCTGGGCAAGGCTATCAGTTGACTGACAGTCGTTTAAAGTTACATTGGCAAGCCAAATTAAGTTCAATTGACAGCTGTCAAAATGGGACATGTGGAGACCACAATCAGAAAACTAGTAACGTGGGCTCAGGTTCGCTCAGGTACACGATCTGGCATTTTCCACTACATGCCGGACGGATATGTCCTACTCACACTTGTAGTCTGTTAATTCGAATATTCGCCATTCTAATGAAGGTTAATTGACAGCTGTCAAACTAGAGTATACGCTGACCATCATCACCTGAGTGGATCGCGGGCTCATTTTTCTATCCATTGAGGTCACGTAGTGTTTAAAGTTTTGCGCACATATTTTATTTGATCACAGGCTCAATTCGAAGCCCCATAACTTTATAGAAAATCTGTCCATCCTAGAAAATTCGGCAAGCACGTGACCGTACACCGACCACCCGACCTTCCGTCTGTCCGCACCACAGGCATACCAATGTTTCTGCTGACCAGTATCGCGGGGTCAGGTATAGACCCTCTGAGTTCGAGTAATTTTTTGAAGGTATCCGCTGACAAGTTGCTACTTTTCAAATGATCGCAGGCTCAAGTTCAATTTTTTTAAAATGCATATGAAATAAGTCGTGTTCATGAGCCGCACTTTTAAAATGTTGATTTCGAACTGACCTCGGACACGAAAATTCAACCGGCTTTTACATTTAAATGCAGGGAAGGCAATCGCTTTTGACTTTTTTCACTGTCACGTGTTCATCACGCTCTACGTCCAATTTTTATGTTCTGATTGGTCAAAATTTGACAGGTGAGTTTATGGGGAAAATTTATCCAGCGTCTGGAAACTTGCTTACTGATAGCTGGAGCTGACAGAGTTTTGTGTCATCTTGTGATGTTTTAAACTGTCTTTTTCTACTTGGTGTACAAAATGAAATACAGTTGCTATCAACATTGTTCTGTAATTCGTGGCTGGTTTGCTTATTGCGCTTTTTGTTGACAAATGCACCGCTTGTTAAAGTCATTGGAAATCCGATTTCGGATGGCATCGTTTTCAAAAATGAGCTTACTCACTTGAGGCGTAAGAGGGTTGAAAAGTCTCAAGCGATTCTGGAACACTTGAAGACCTTCAGAAGCAGCATCTCGACTGGTAAGCCTGAGCAATTATTGTCTTTGATGTGTTTTTTTTTTCGGTTTCCTGAAGTCGAGCGTATGGTTTATGCGGCTTAAGTTTATACACGAGCAATTATCTAACCTACAATAGTATCAGGTTTAAAAAGCCTTTAGACACTTTTTGACCCGCAAATTCAAAGAAAAGGTTCCGAGGATTATTTAGTTATGATTTTGGCAGTAAACAGAAAGCTCTGATGGATTTTCTTGCCTCGAGTTCATCTTGAAAAAGAGAAAACACCGGGAAGCCGGCTTAAAACATAAATAAGCTTATGCTTACCTGACTCATGATTTTCTGAGACACTTTACTCTCAATACTTCTCTTCGTGAATGAAAATT